TTTTTTTTTAACCTCTTTTATACATCTTGTTGAGAGAGTCCATTTGTATTGCTCATATTCTGTAAACCAGAATGTTTTTATCTTCTCTTCAATAACCACAAAGCACTAAAGGGTCCAAGATATTAAAAGAGATGATGGTGCAAGAAATGGAGGCAAAGCCACATTGTAAAAATAATAAAAATAATCTCTTAGTGCAAATATGTTCTGAAATCCAATCAGATAAAACTTAAGAGGTGTTGGAGACCTAAATATTATTTATGAAGAAAGTGTTTTGGACTTAGGAATTTCTGTTTGACCTTACCTTTTAGGTAGTTTTTTTTTTTTCTTTTTTAAACTGAATATGCCTCAGGACTGGAACTTCAAAAAATACTGATTTAAGCTTTTTCTTCAGAGGGAAATGTCTTCATCAATTAGTACAGATTGTTATTGATGTTTCCAAGAAATTTTACAACTTTTTTTTTTTGGCAGTATACTGCACAGTTTCAACATCAAGGCCAAGAGTTTTTTCTTCTGCCTAACCAAGCCCTGCCTCCCTTTTTCTAATTTTAGCACATTTCCTCTTATTGTTTCCTTGGTTAAGATGAAGAATAATTTGGTTTATTTTTTTACTTGCTGTAACATTTTTCATAAAATTTCCTCATGGGCTTTTCTTTTCCAAAGTAAATGATCTCAGTGCCTTTATTCTTTCTCCAAATGATAGCTTTCTATTTTTCTCATTATATTTTATGTTTTTTGCGTTTCTGTATCCCATCTCAAATTTCTTCATGTTCATGTAAACTGCAAAGACAAACACTGGGCACACTATTCTATTAGGGTCAGGCCATTGCCAAAAAAAGAAGTGGAAGGTGCTTCCTAGCTCTTGGTAAGTGACACTACTGTTAATATATCCTGGTATCATGGTTATTCTCCCAACCCCCTACCAATAACATTATCTTCAAAAGCATTTGTTCAATGTCTGTGTGTAGAGCCAGCTTTTAGAGGTATCAGAAGAAATTCAGATGCTCATCTGTTTTCATCAGACACTTGGTAGGAATAGGCATCCAGTGTTGGAAGCCAGAGGGATACAAAGAAGGAAGATTGCAAAACCAAAGTTAAGATCTTCTCAGTGGAAATTAGTGAGAAAGCAGGAGTCTAAGATGCTATTTTTGTTTAAAATTGCTGGAAATAAATACAAGGAGAGAGCTGTACAACAAAGGCAAGTTTACTTTACAACAAGCCTTTGATAATAGAATTCAATTCATTCTATGTGTAGAGGGAAATGCACATGATGTTTCAAAGCAAACTTGATGGCCCTCTCTTGGTCCAGAGTGGCTCAGTGTATTCCTTCTGTTTTGTTGCAAGGTTGGGGGACTCAACCTGGTTTCTTTGTCTGCTCTGGCTGACACTACGCTGTCCCATGGATATTTTTCCTCCCCTCAGGACTCTTCAGCTTGTGCTTTCAGTTTTGCCTCTAAAGACAAAACTACACAAGGCCCTTCTATGTTAAGGATAAAATCACCCCCACTAAAAGGAAATAAGGGAAAAGGGAGATTTTTTCAAAAGCAGGCGGAAGGTACATAGTTGCACAAAAAGTGGCCACTGAGATGAACTATATGCTATAAAATATTTCTTCCCCCAGCTTCATTATGGGTGTCAGGTATTCTAAACTTATTGAATCTGAAGTAATCAAGGCCAGGTCGTGAAATAAAAATAGCACAGTGATGAACCTATCCCTAATGTCTCTGAGGCTTCCCAATCAAGTTTACTCTGTTCCCTAAGTTTTTGTTTTAATTTCCTTAGTATTTCTCAATGTCTTTTTTGAGTATGTAGTTTGATATTGTGAGGCCATAGTTTAGGGAACTGTCTTTTCTAAATTAACAAGCCATTTGGGATTCAGAAAAGATCAGAAATTCTATACTTTGAATTTTGATGAAAATCATGGATTCTGATAATCAATATTAACTTGAGAAAATTCTCATTTTCCAAATAAATATGAAGTAAATAATAAAAAAAAGAAATGGGCAGAGAGGGCTCATAGGCTGTAACATTTATTACAAGTAAGAAAAGCGACTATTGTTATAAAGGATATATTTGGCTTGCCCCTAGGAAATTAATCTTATTTTTCTTTTTTACTTTCCAAAAGTTCACAGACTGAGTCAGTTGGCATTTATATTTGTAATTTAGAGAAAAAAGGTCTTATCATGAAAAAGAGAAAATAATTTTCCTATATTTCCATACTTAGGACAGTTTGGATGCTACTTTAAAATGTTAGTTTAAATTTAAAAAGTGATTCAGTGTTGTAACAAATGTACTCAGTATAATCATATTTATAATTTTCAGGAAATTAAAATGTAATTATTGTCCTTTAGAAGATATTAGTTGCTGTGCTGTGAAATATTATCTAAAACTTCAGTGGTATCAGTACTGATATGGGCATTGGTGAACAGTGAGGAGGTGATAGAAGAGCAGATGATTATGAGATGAAGAGTTGACAGAGAAGCCCGTCCTGTGTTGGATGATGTAGCTGGGTATAATATATGTATTTGCTCTTAAAGTTGGCTCAGGGATACCCTAGGCTTCTCCATGATAGAGCAAATGAGGGGTTAATGCCCAGAAACAGGGTCTTCTGAAGACCCTGCACACCAGGAGCACTATTGATATCCAAGCTTATTGGATTCAAAATATTTTGGGCAAGTTGACAGAAACTCCATCTCTTATAGCTGGCCTGAATTTTCTTGTGTAAAAGTTGAGAATAACCATTAAGTAAATATTCTAGTCTCAGCCAATATGATTTATTAAGTCCTTCAGTTAAGGGTATGTTGGAAGGTAGATTAAATGGCTCCTCAAACACCAATATGCCTAGCATGCAATGCTGCTTCCAAGGCTCTGTTGAGCACCCTGCCAAGTTCAATACATGTTCCTAATTTTCAAATCCGAGGAAGATATTTTCAGTTCTCGTCTTAACTTTCCGGAGACATTTGATACAATTGACTGCTCCTTGTTTTGAAACCTTTCTTGGCATCCCAGAAGCCACTGTGTTTTGGTCTCTTTGCTCACTAACTGTCATTCTTGTCTCCTTCAGCAGATTCTCTTATTCTGTTATCTCCTCAGATTTGGTGTTTTTCACTATCTGTTCTTGATCTTTTCCTTCTCTTACAGCATAATGGACTATTATCCATTTCCATGATTTTAACCCATCACTACACATTGATGGCTCCCCGGTCATTCTCTCTTCTCCAGGAGTCTCTTGATCAACCTTTCTACCAATTCGCTATTCAGTTCCCCAAACCTGAAAGTTTTTCTCCCGTATTCAATTAGTCTTCAAAAAAATAACAATTGTTTGTATTTCTCAAGTTTGTACTCTCTGCTCTGTTTACTTCTCTGGGATTAGTTCAGGTCTTCATCTTTTTTTATGTTTTAGTTTCTTTATTTCAATAACATTCAAACTCAACTACATTATATTTGCTTCTTGGTCTCTCTACTTTCTAAGACATACAAAGACTGTGCCTTTTTCATTCCCCATATTGCTAGTGCCTAATAGTATCTGCTACATACTAGGTGTTCTATAAATTCTTATTGACTGAATAGTACATTGTATCTGGATGTTTACCTTATTTGGGAGACATTGTTTTGCTTCTCTCCCTATACATAAGAATTCAGTGTTATTGTAGCCTGTTCCCTTACCCCTTCTTTATGCCTGAGAATTAGGCTTATGACCACTGAAGTGTCAATTTCCCATAGCATATGAGTTGAGCTAGTGCTACCTAAAAGCAAGTTTGGCCCACAGTGAGCATCTTGTTGTAAATGATCAGTTTTGAAAGGTTCCTCTGGGAATCTAATTGATCTCTATGAGTAGGGACATCTTGCACTGCTGCTTTCCAAGAAGCTGCCAGATGGCTCACAGAAAAGCTTCATTATTTAAAATCTTTCAGAGGCATCCAGGGAAAATGTTGTGGGCAAATATTCAAAGAAGATCAGTAAGTGAAGCAGTGGCTAGGGGAAGGATATCATTTAACTTACCTGTCCCCAGCTGATGCTTACACTTGCTTCTGAGCAGAGAGAAGTCTGATTTACTGACTCAGTTCCTGAATGGTGATTGCTAATCCTTAAGAGCCACCTCCAGTGAGCAGGCTGCAAACAAATCCTTTAACAAAACCTTTAAAAGATGTCTTTGAGATGAGATTAAATTGCTAATATGATTTCTGTTAAAGAAAGACTAATCTGTGGTAACAAAGTGGCTCTCAAATCTGAACAAGCTTTGGGTGATAAATGCTCAGTACAAGCGAGGTCACAAAAAGGATGTACAATAGTGAATGGACTTATTTGGAGAAGAAACAGTCTAGTATTTGCTCCCCTAAGGTTTTCATTGTTTCTTCTTCGGTCTTTAATGTGACCACATCAAAAGAGCTTGAGATATTAGAGAGAATTGGAAGAAAGACAAATTCTATTCCATGAACAGAAGTTTCTAAGAATTTTCCTAGTCCTGGGTAGATCAAACTACACCAGTAAAATTCAGGCTCTTCCAAATATGATGCTGGGTTACACCAGAGGTCAGTGGCTAAATGTTTACGGACCTATTTTTCAAGAGTGTGGGAAAGCAAGAGTACTTGCATTTCTTTATACTTTTCTCAAACTAATGGAATTAAGACCATTTATCCTCCTAAAGATGTAACCTAAACTTATCCTAAAAGCTCTGGTTGTTGCATTTTGAAGCATATAAATGGCTAAATAGCTATTATTTTTCCCTGATAAATTGAACCATTTTCTAACATGAAGCATTGAGGGTGTGTAATCAATGCTATTTCATTGTGCTAGATGAGAGGTCAGGTTTTAATGTATACACATTGTTGGTCTGAAAGGCAGTTTTATCATGAGTTGAAGGTAGATTTGGGCAGTGATTCTGTAACATGGATTCTCTTGAGTTCTCTTCCAGGAGTCTGATACAGATGGAAAAGCTGACCCCGAGGATGTGTCTGTGCTGTCTGGGGTGGGGCGGCTCCCTGGCCATCTGTGAGTAATTACACATAATATCTATACCTGGGAACAAGGAGTTATTTTATTACCAGATGTGACCATTAAAAAGATACTGTTAGAAAAACTGGTGGGAGGCCAGCTAGCTGATTAAGTGATACTCTTTTTCCTAAAATATAAAAAGCTTTGAGAAAATAAATTACAATGTCACCAATATAGCGAGTGGTTAATACATCTAGTGAGAGTTGTTGTTAACAGGTAATACTTCCTTCATGGAAAGGTAGTCAAATAATTCCCAAAAGGTTGGCTGTGAAGAGGTTTCTTTGTTCAGTCTTTTATTCCAGTTGGATACACCAGAGATTCCATTCTAGGCATCCATGGTTGTTCACTTCATAGATCATGTCCCAAAATTGAATTACTTAAATCCCTTCTGATTTGCTGGTAATTACATAGAAAAATGTTAGATCGGGAAAGTGATGCCAGAGAATGGCACCATCGTAGTTGTACTAGTCCATTTTCATACTGCTATGAAGAAATACCCGAGACTGGGTAATTTATCAAGAAAAGATGATTTAACAGACTCATAGTTCCACATGTCTGGGGAGGCCTCACAATCATGGCTCCCAGGCAAGATAGTGTGTGCAGGGGAACTGCTCTTCATTAAACCATCAGATCTCATGAGACTTATTCGCTATCATGAATAAAATGTGAGGTTGGGAAAATGCATGAGGGTAACTATGCGCATGATTAAATTACCTCCCACTGGGTCCCTCCCATGACATGTAGGGGTTATGAGTACCTCAATTCAAGATGAGATTTGAATGGGGACATAGCCAAATCATGTCAATAATAATCATCTTTCTGACAAGAAAATGACCTCTTTTTCTCTGTGCCATTGGTTTCTGTATCTTTTTAAAGCTTCTCTCTATTATCCAGCTGAAGGCATGCCATCACTCTCCTCTGTCTCTCTTATATCCTTGGTATCATTTTACCCATTATGAGCCTTGCATTAATGCTCACAGAAAAATAAAGGGATTTGACTAAAATGAAATCACTTTGTATTTAATCTGTTAATGGCTTTTATTCTTCCTTCGATAGAAACAACTTGCCAAAAAATCACAAATATACACAGTTATGGGAAAATGTATTCAGAGTATATAATCATACCCTATTATTTGTCTTTGACCGTGAAAGTATTTAATCAAGAGACTTGTTAAATCAGAGATTATACAAATTAACATAACATTCATTCTTTGAAATTCCTTCAAGAAAGAAAAGCTACCTTTGAAGCTGAAGTGAAATACAAAAACTGTCTCTGTGTCAAATCCATCTTATTTAATGATCAGTACATGTGTTTCGTATTTTACATGTGAATGACCCACAAAAAACCATAAAACTTATGTAAGCAGAATAAAAGGAAATTAAAAGTACAGAAAAGATTCATAGAATGAATTCAGTACATAGAAACAAGCACACACACCCACACACACGCGCACGCGCGCGCACACACACACGCGCACGCGCGCACCCACACCCACACCCACACGCACGCGCGCGCGCGCGCGCGCACACACACACACACACGCAAGTGCGCATGCGCCAAACATGAAACTGCCAAACCAAGGAGAATTTATTTGTTTAAGTTTAAAACATAGAGAAGCCAACAATTTAATCTGGCAGAGACTTCAGTGGAGGTTACTGTGGCTATGCTGTAAAATACTTTTCTTTTTCAGAGTAAGAGGATATGTATATTTGTGGGTAGTGTTGCCTTTTACTTAAGAATTGGTTCCAGTATATTTATTTCAGTATTCGTTTTAGAAATGTTGTTTTGAACATTCTTTTGTTTCTAACAGGTTAAGGATTATTTCCCAGACAAATACTTCCTGGTTTAATGATTCCTTGTTTCCTGAGTGTCCATAAACATTGCTAAATTCTCACTTTACTTTGTGATCTAACGTAATCAGTGTTGACTGTCCATCTGGATGTTTTAGATTACTTTTGGTTTGGTTGATTTATTTCTGGTGCTTGTTCTATTTTGATCTAGTTAACCAAATAGCTGCCAATAGCCATTTTTAATATGTGCCGCGGGGCCACAGATATGTTAGGGCAGCGACTGCTGGTTTCCCTACGTCCTGTTTAGCACTTTCATGTTATATGTAGACAAATAAAATAGAAGCCAAGAACATCTGGAAACAATCAGTAAACAACAGTTCGGAAATTTCTGCTTCATTTGGACTTGACATACTTCAGAAAAGACTATTCGTAAAATAATTAAATTTACATTTTAATTTCATCTGGAAAGTTCATCTGCTTGATAATATCTTAAACCATTTATTTTTCAATTTCATTGTCATCATCCTAATTTAGCAATAACTACACTTAACCCTCTCAACCTCCTCAAATGTACACATCTGGTCTCTAGTCATAATAGACTTCTTTCTAAAACTTAGAATGGGGAATCTTATCATTCTCTACATTAAAGGCTTCTAAAGTCTTCCAGTGGTGTGTTGAAAAAATTCAAGCTAATTAGTTAGAAATTTAGTATTCACCATATGCTGGAATCTGTTTGGTCTTACCTATATCTCATCTTTTCACAATAGATAGTCCAGTCACATTTTTCTATTTCACTGTTAGTGCATTTTTTTTTGCTTCCTTCCTTCCATCCTCCTCCTCCTTCTTCTGGTTTTAATTTTTATTGATCGAGTAGTCAACTTTGAAATGCCACCTCTGTCACTCCCTGCTCTGTTACAATAAATTGCTACTTCCCATGGGCTTCCGTAGCACCTCATTATATTTTTATAAAGCATTTGTTTCAATTCTTGGCTTATAGATTATTTCATGTCACCTTCTTCTGCTAGACTGTGAGTTTCTTGAGCACAGGCTCCACATTTCATTCACAATGGTATCTCACAGCATGTATAATAGTGGTCTGTTTACTAACACAATAGAAGTTAATAAAGGAGAAAAAGAATGAATGCATGGATGACCCAATGGCACCTTGCTACAAAAAGAAAAAATAAATTGGGTTACATGATCAAGATGTCCCAAATTTAAAATTACTTCATTATTCTATTGAATGACAGAGCTATACATGCCTAATTTTTAGAGAAGCTAATTTTTTTTTTTAACTGGAGACTTGTTTTGGCAATAGAAAACAGCTGGATGTATTGTGGTTATGATACAACATGGAAATTCCCATTTTCTTATATATGTCACCATTGAAATATAATTTCTTAAATATTTTAATATTGTATGTATAATGGAATCTACCTCTGCATATGAAGAAGCCTCTGTCAGGCTCAGATTTGATAAGAAATGATGGAGAGATGGCATTCATGTTATCAGACAATATACTTAGGATTCGAACTCAAGAGCCTAATCCTGAATTAAATCCAGGGAGTCCCAATGAAAGTTTTGCTTAGTTCTGGCAGTTGTAAACCCAGTTTAGACAAATACAGTTTTTTGTTTCTAACAGGTTGTGGATTATTTTCCAGACAAATAATTCCTGGTTTAACGATCAGTTAAAGCACAGTTCTAAATTTGGGCTGTAGTAGGTATTACTAAGAAAACAGAAATTGAAGGGGCATAGAAGAAACGGGTTGTGAAAGATAGGAAGAAAGAAAAATTGTTTTCCTTGCAATCTTTTTTAGAGTTTAAACAGGTTTTTCAGTTGACCCACCTAGATGGAAATGAACTGAGTCCTCACTTGTCTAGTTGTTATTTCTCAAGTCACCTTAAGTACAGGAAAACATACTAAAAGCATGAAATATAATTAAGAAATACAAGGCAGGGTGTAAGGCTCTGCACTTGTTGCTTTGCTCAGTTGTTTTCATGTATCTACAACTACAGAATTGTCTTCCATGATTTTCCCATCACATTTTATAAAGTTGGGGTAATTAACTTCATTGGGAATAGAAAAGGGCTTAAAGTAGGGTGATTCCTTGGATACTTGTCTCCTTTTTAGTAATTCCCTTGAATGACGTGCCTGGGCCTCTAGTTACTCTGATTTTCATTTGCTCCAGTGTCTGGTGATACAGGAAGTCCCAATGAAATCTTTGCTTCCAAGAGTAATATGATTTATTTTTCTCTGGGCAGCAGCAGCAGCTTCTTCTTCTTCTTCTTCCTCCTCTTCCTCCTCCTCCTCCTCCTCCTCCTCTTCTCCTTCTCCTTCTCCTTCTCCTCCGCCTCCTCCTTCTCCTTCCTTCTTTCTTATTCTTCTTCTTTGAGACAGATTATTGCTCTGTTGCTCAGGTTGGAGTGCAGTGGCGCCATCTTGGCTCTCATCAAAGTTTAAGAGATTCTCATGCCTCAGTCTCCCGAGTAGCTAGGATTACAGGCACCTGCCACCATGCCTGGCTAACTTTTGTATTTTCAGTAGAGATGGATTTTCACCGTGGTGGCAAGGCTGGTCTTGAACTCCTGACCTCTAGTGATCTACCCACCTTGGCCTCCCAAAGTGCTGGGATTACAGGCATGAACCACTGTACCTGGCCCCACTGAGCTTCTTTATGGCCATCAGATAATTGTATTTTATTTTAATCATACTTTTATTTCTCTAATTATTGAGGTATTTATGCCAGAAAATTGGACTTGGACACTACTAGTGTGGTGCACTTGTTAATGATAGAAATGAGTCTTTTCTGTGACTACAAATCTATCATCTAAATGAGAATCATGTCCTTTTACTTTTTTGTGCATAAAAATACATTCTTTTTCTTTCTGACATCCCGATGATATCCTCTTTTTTGTGTGTGTGACAAATCTTAATTCTATCTTCAGAGTGTTTTTATTTTCAGTTGCTTCCTAAGAGCTTGGTTTTTCTTATGCAAATAGGGACTCTAGATTTACCTCAATCTCTAAGATTTCCTGAACTGATTGAGTCCAGTAGGTTCCCCTGTGGTTTTCAAAATGCCTCCTATGTAGTAACATGTTACCTCAAAATATCTTTACTGCTTGCTACTTGGCAATGTATATCTTTTTTCAACAGGAGATACGTGATTGGGATTTGAGGAAAAAGGTACAAAAGGTGCAAGGAGAGTGTACATACTTTCCATAACTAGAGTCTTTTCCAAGCAGCCTCTGACATATTTCTGTTGATTCAGGGTCAATCAACTAATCAATCAACAGATTCATGAAATGTTTGTTGCATATCTGCTATGTGCCCAACAATATCCCTTTCCTTAAAGGGCAGAATCATGTCAGGACCAATACCTGCTTTGTTGTTTGATACATTGGATGGTCACTTAACTGTGTAGTTCAATCTCGGTCCCTTCAGAACCCATGAGTGGAACAATGGTCTCTATTAAAACAGTGTTTATCCTGCATCATTGCAGAAGTTTTGCTGAAAGTCTCCAAATGCTACAGAGGTAATTATTAAGCAGCATTCATTGCTAAATTCCTTCATCCTTAGGCTTAGGTCTGTTGAGAACCTGCACATTTTCTTTCAAGCTTTGGCAATTGTGTGTCTTGGGTGGGAGAGAATGAATGTTAGAGCCTCCTTCTCCGTGATCATGCCAACTATCAGGAACCTTTCCATAGTTTTGTCCTGTCAGTTCCTATTACTAAAAGCCAGGGGCTTATCCATGTTTCAGGTCATGCTTTGTTTGATGTTATTAGTATGTCTTTTTCCAGTTATTTACTATTTTCCCTCTGTACCTTGAATGGCTTTGTATAAAGCTCAGATATGCAGCACACTGTATTTTCTTGGCACCTGGTTTCTTCATCTTTTGCATGAACGTGGCTGTAACTGATGTGCTTGTTTGTAGTTGGTCTCTGTTCAAATAAATTTCTCCAACTCTGATAAATAGAATTATTTTACCTTATTCCCCTCTTTTAATTCAATTCTGCCCTAATTGTTTCTTTTTGTTTCAGAAACAGTTGTACTTTTCTTTCACCAAAGAAAGTACAAACCTAATGAAGGAAAATTCATGTCTTGTTAGTCTTTGAATTCCCCTTCCCTCTCCCTAGTGACAAACACATGGTGGACACCTGACATTTACCAAATGTAACCGGTGGGATCAATGCAGAGTTCATTTGGAATTTCTCATCATGCAGGGTATTTCTCTTAGTTGGATGGAAGAATCTTTATTTTACTCTTACTGTTAATTCCCCTGTACTTGGAACATCTGCCATTTCAGAACTCAGTGGTTGTATTACTGAATGTCTTTTAACTGTATAAATCAGAGGGCTCTTGGGAATAAGAATTTCTTTATGCAACAGAGTTAGGGGCTTGCTAGGAGCCATATATGGTTTTCTTGTAACTTTTAAGAAAATGATATATGGAATGTGGACACCTGGGGTAACAGCTTAAGTTATTCCTTTTAAGAATATCAATTTATTATTTTACTCAACATGACTAAATGAAGCTGTTGCTCACCTGAATTCTTCCGACTTATGAATTGAGAGCATAAATAAGTTGCTTCAAATGACAAAGTCTTGGGTAATTTTCTTTTCATATGCACTTTATCCTGAATATTCATTGGTGAGTTTCTTAATGATCAAAAGCCAAAATAGTTCATTCTGTTGCATAAATTATAGCCATAGAGCATTTTATGTTCATATAGAAATTACTTACATTGATATCTTATATTTTATAATTTATGTTTTGACACGAGGAGAGAATAAATACGTAGAGGAAAAGAAAAGAGAAATAAAGAGTAAGATATAGAGGAGAATAAATGCTAACATTATATTATGAATGCCATTTGAAATGACCAGTATCCATATAAAAATGT